TATTATACTATTGTTTCTTAAAATGAATGGTTCATATTATTTTTATTTTAGTATTTTTTATTGATTTTCCTTATTTACCCTCTATTATATTATTTTCTTCCCTTAAATAACTTAAATTCCGTTAACATAAACTTTAGTAATGGAATATTCCGTTAAGTATTTATTATTTTAACTTACACATTAATTTCTATAAGAAAAGTCTTAGTTTCGAACCACATCCTAATTAGAGTTGACATAATTGTTAAACATATACAACGAATATGTTAAAATATATTTAAAATATATATAATATAAAATTTAACATAAACTTTGTTCAAATAATTAGTCTGACTAAATACATAACATTCAAAGTTAAGCATCAAAGATTATAAATCAAGAACTTTAAAAATCATTTGATCAGAAAAAAACTTAATATTCTTTTGATTATTTAGATCAGAAAAAAAAACTTAATATTTCAATTATACTTTTGCATTAATATTTTTTGTATGTATTTTTCTTTTTAATCAATGATTGCATTATTGTTGATGAAAAGTATATACGCCACTTTATTACTCTTATTAAACTAAATAAAGTAGTAGCTACAACAAAAAATAATACATATCCGTTTAATTAATTTTGAATTAGATGTCTATAATGCCTTTATTGAAAAAAAAAATTACTCATTATAAAAAATTTAAAAATAGATATAATTTCATTAGTTATATTATCTTTATTTTCTACAATTCAAAGATTCATTACCTTCAAATTTATCAATTTATTATATTCACTGTATTGTCCATTGTCTTCTTTTTACATTATCTTGTAATTAAATATCAAAGTTATAATACAAAATACATTATATATATTTATTTACCAAGTATTTTATACAAATATAATAAATATTAATATTTTGTTCAATACTTTCACATGATAACCTACGACACACATCTCACAATACATGAAACATGTAGGGAAAAACTACCACTACCAAATATCGATTAGAAAATTCAATAAATATTATCTTGCATTTATATATTTTGAATTACCGATTTAAATAAAGAAATTCAATATTTATTTACATATGCATGAACTTCTCCGATATGCATGTCCACCTTGCAAGGTGAACACGGTTCTATAGCATAATTTGACAATTTGCCCACTTTATTGCTCTTAAACTAAATAAAGTAGTAGCTACAACAAAAAATAATACATATGCATTTAATTACTTTAGAATTAGATGTCTATAATGCCTTTATTTTAAAAAAAAATTATTCATTATAAAAAATTTAAAAATAGATATAATTTCATTAGTTATTTTATCTTTATTTTCTACAATTCAAAGATTCATTACTTTCAAATTTATTAATTTATTATATTCACTGCATTGTCCATTGTCTTCTTTTTACATTATCTTGTAATTAAATATCAAAGTTATAATACAAAATACATTATATATATTTATTTACCAAGTATTTTATACAAATATAATAAATATTAATATTTTGTTCAATACTTTCACATGATAACTTACGACACACATCTCACAATGCATGAAACATGTAGAGGAAAACTACCACTACCAAATATCGATTAGAAAATTCAATAAATATTATCTTGCTTGCATTTATATATTTTGAATTACCGATTTAAATAAACAAATTCAATATTTATTTACATATGCATGAATATCTCCGAGATAATATTGCGTTGATATACTTTGAAATACTTATTTAAAAATAATCATTGGGCATTATCCCATTCGCGCAAAGCGTGTAAAAAAAACTATATATTTTAATAAGATTAAGTGTTGTAGATTAGAGTATGTACTAATCAATTATATTAGTGGATTTCGAGTTTCGACTCAACCCATCCTAAAAAGACTTATGAATTTTTTTATTTTCGGGTATCCACGTAAAATATTTTGCTTCATTATTCATTATGTACTACTCATCCCCACTATATAAGTTGATCCAAACTAATTTATATTATTAGACAGCTATCTCAAAAAGTCGAAGTTAATTAACACCTTTTTATTTCCAAATTAATTGATAAGATTGCAACTAATAAATGGGATGATGGGAAAAAAGAATTGTTATTTCCCTGTTTTTTAATTTTTAATTTTAAAAATAATTTCTTTTTACATTTTATAGAAAAGTGAAAAAAATTGTTGATAAGTTATGCTTCGGATCTATCCAACCTCTTGTTATTGGTTCTTGTGCCTTAGCCTTTGCCCTATATTCTTGGACATCGCACTCTCGAAATTTGTTACTTAAAAAATAAAAAATCTTGTCAGTAATTGATAATGGAAGCAACAAAATCCTATCATCCTATGAACTCTAATGAATTTTCAATACCATCCAACAACATAGGTTACATACAATCGATATACCCTACACCACAACGCGCGTAGCACTGTGCACCGTGCACTTTCCAAAACGACGTCGTTTTGGGAGGCACGGTAGGAAATTGCTGTGATTATGTATATTTGTTCACACAATTATGTATATTTGTTCATACAATTATGTATATTTGTTCATACAGTTATGTACATTTTTTATACAATTATGTATATTCTTTTTATACAATTCTGTACATCCGAATCAGAAAATTTGTGTGTTTATATTAAGAGTTGATGTGTATTATGTTAAAAGTGTATGTTTATTATGTATTATGTTAGATTATGTGTATTATCTTTTAAAAAGAGTATGTATATTTTGTTATATAATTATGTACATTCATGTATACAATTATGTGTATTTTAGTATAACATTATGTACATTTTTTAACATGAGTTTTTTATTAAAGAAAAATTAACTGTCATACACTGGGGCGGAAAATTTCAAAAAAAAAAAAAATTAAAACGACGTCGTTTTGCATTTAGGTGCACAGTACAACGCGCACCGTGATGTAGGATATAAATTGCCGGTTACATAGCCTAAATGTACAATTTCCCAAAAAGAAAAAAGAAAAAACCTCTACCATTTTGGGCGAAACGGCCCAAAAGCCAATGGGCTTAGTTAATGAACTCTACCCTCATATTAAGCGCAAATTATGCTGTGCAACCGAATGCACCTTGCAAGGTGCATACGGTTGCAAAACAGCGCCGTTTTGGTTAAAAAAACGCGCATCCCACTTAAAGAAGAAATCAGGTTCGATTCTCGGTAATAGGATTTTTATATATCCAGAAATTCATAGCTATATAACCACAATTTCATAATTATATATCCACAATTTCATAACTATATATCCACAGTGAATGAATGAAGTAAAAATTCACAATGAATGAATGAATGAAGTAAAAATCCACAATGAATGAACTAAATATCCACAATATATGATTGAACTAAATATCCACAATGAATGAACTAAATATCCATAAATTCATAACTATATAACCACAATTTCATAACTATATATCCACAATTTCATAACTATATATCCACAATAATGCTATTGCTGAGAGTCGAACCTGATTTTTTTTTTTAAGTGAGACGCGCGTTTTTAACCAAAATGACGTCGTTTTGAACCGTATGCACCATGCGCATGGTACATTCGATTGCACAGCATAACTATTGCATATTAAGACGCCCATGAACACTTCCAATCGTTATGGTATGGACCAGTGTCCAGCATGTATGCTGGACACGATAACGGTGTCGTTAGTGGTACCGTTCTCTTTCACTTTTTTTTATTTTATTTTTTTAAAAAAAATTCAGATCACATTGTTATAGGAGTATATGTTCATAATTTTATCACTATATGTTCATAATTGTAAGTTAATGATGTCAGAGCTCTGTGTTCATAATTGCATAACTGTACACTCATAATTCTGTAACTGTAAATTCATAATTCAATAACTGTAAATTCATAATTTTCGAAACTCTATGTTCACAATTTTAGAGCTCTATGTTCATAATTTTATCACTATATGTTCATATTGTAAGTTCATAATGTCAGAGCTCTATGTTCATAATTTCATAACTGTACATTTATAATTCCATAACAGTACATTCATAATTGCATAATTGTACATTCATAATTCCGTAACTGTACATTCATATTCAATAACTGTAAATTCATAATTTTCGAAGCTCCATGTTCACAATTTTAGAGCTCTATGTTCATAATTTTATCACTATTGTTCATAATGTCAGAGCTCTGTGTTCATAATTTTATAACTTACATTCATAATTCCATAACTGTACATTCATAATCCCATAATTGTACATTCTTAATGGCACAAACGAATAACGCTGTCAACGACGAGACAAAATCAAATTATTATTTTTAACTGGAATGACGCGTTTTCCCTGAAAACGACGTCGTTTTGGACTCGTGCGGGTCCAGGATATAATTTGCCAATCATTATGCTATGGACCCGTGTCCAGCATGCATGCTGGACACAGGTAATAATGTCGTTAGGCACTGTTATCTTCTTTTAAAAAAAAAAAAAAAAAATTCAGACCGCTTCGTTATAGGAATATATGTTCATAATTTTATTACTATATGTTAATAACTGTACATTCATAACTCCATAACTGTACGTTCATAACTCTATAACTGTACATTCATAACTCCATAACTGTACATTCATAACTCCATAATTGTACATTCATAACTCCATAATTGTACATTCATAATTTTCGAAGCTCTATGTTCACAATTTTAGAGCTCTATGTTCATAATTTTAAGTTCATAATGTCAGAGCTCATTGTTCATAATTCGATCAATAACTGTACATTCAAAATTCCATAACTGTAGATTCATAATCTCATAACTGTACATTCATAACTCCATAACTGTACATTCATAACTCCATAACTGTACATTCATAATCTTCGAAGCTCTATATTCACAATTTTAAAACTCCATGGTCATAATTTTATCACTATATGTTAACTGTAGATTCATAATCTCATAACTGTAGATTCATAACTTCATAACTGTACATTCATAACTCCATAACTGTACATTCATAATCTTCGAAGCTCTATATTCACAATTTTAAAACTCCATGGTCATAATTTTATCACTATATGTTCATAATTGTAAGTTCATAATGTTAGATCTCTGTGTTCATAATTTCATAACTGCATAACTGTACATTCATAACGGCATAACTGTACATTATAACGACATAACTGTACATTCATAATCCAAAAAAAAAATAACACCGTTAACAGCAAAATACACACGATTTTTTTTTAAACTAAATGACACGTTTTTCTTTTAAAAAAAACGACGTCGTTTTAGGCCCGTGTCCACAATTCATTGTGGACACGGGTCCAGGGCATAATTTGAAAGACACTTCCACATGGGCTTTTTCCGATCTTCAAATTGGGCTCTGAACATACTTGGGCTTTTAGTATTAATTGGTAAATTGTAGACAGGTCATGCCGTCAGAATTTAAAGGGGTAAATTATCAATCATTATTGTGTGGATCATAGTCTACACAAGTTGTGTGTATCATATTTTGTCTATTGTAAAATAATATACATTCAGTAAAAAAAATGTACATTTAGTTCAAAAATAATGAACATCGTATTCAGGAAATATACATTATTTTTGTTCTGAGTGTACATTATATTATATAATGTACATTCAGTACAAAAATAATGTATATTTAGTATATTAAAATGTACTTTTTGTTATGGTTCACATAACATTGGTCCACACAATAATTTGCCGTAAATTATACCGTGCACCAGCATTGTGTGCCCTGGCTAAAACGACGTCGTTTTGACTATATATATATATATATATATATATATATATATATATATATATATAAATTCTGTTTCCCGTTTCTATTGTTAAATTCACAAAAAAAAAAAAAAAAAAATCTCTGTTTCGAATGTATATAATAATATAAACTCATAACAGAAAACACAAACTCATAACATAATACATAATACACATAAACTCATAACATAATACACATAAACTCTTAACATAATACACATAAAATCTGTACAATAAAAATGACGTCGTTTTTGTCAGGGCGACAATGCATTGTGCGCCCTGGTGCACGGTATAACGATTGATTTAAAGGTAGGACAACCATTTGTTATACCATTGTGTATTTTTAGTACTTGAATGTGAACATCCAGAATATAAATTGTGTTTTTAAGTTTTTAGAATTTATGAATATAGGGTAATTTACAAATTGTGAATTTTGAAAAGATAAATTGTAAACATTTAGTATCTAAATTGTGTACCTGTCCACCTTGCCAATCGTTATGTTGTGCATCCGTATGCACCGTGCATGGTGCATACGGATGCAAAAACGACGTTGTTTTGACGTCTAACTTTAAAAAAAAAAAATCAGAATTGTATAACTACACAATCATAATTTCATAACTATACATCCAGAATTACATAACTACGCATCCATAATTTCATAACTATAAATCCAGAATTGCATAACTACATATCCATAACTTCATAACTATACATCCAGAATTGCATAACTATACATCAATAACTTCATAACTATAAAATCCAAAATTGCATAACTACACCATGCATAATTACACATCCATAATTTCATAACTATAAATCCAGAATTGCATACCTACACATCCATAATTTCATAAGTACAAATTCAGAATGAATGAACTAAAAAACGAACAACATAATGTTGTTGCTGGGAATTGAATATTTTTTTTTTTGTTTAAGTATGACGCGCGTTTTGATGCAAAACGACGTCATTTCTGCATTCGTATGCATCATGCATGATGCACATGATGCACACGAATTCACAGCATAATTTGCCCTCCCTTGCAAGGTGGACTCCAGTCCACATAATAATTTGTCGTATGACAACTATCACATAACCATATCATAAAATGTATGAGTCAAATTACATTAAAAGACTGAATTCAATTAGTTTGTTAGTCTCGCGGTGCCTCAAATGGACAACAAGGGACAGACTATCGAGCTAACAAAATTGGCCAAGCTTTTTTTTTTTTTTTTTTTTTTAATAACGTGTTAAAATTTATAATTAAATACCAAGTCATAATGTATGTGAGACAATACACTAAAACATTGAATATAATCAACTCACCAATCTCACTATGTGATTATAAATCACATGTTTCTCTAATTCTTGGATTCTAAGCATTTACATGAAGTTCTGGCTAAAAGATGGAGATGTGAACTCCAGTTTTTTCCACAATACGGTGAAGCAGCACCGCAGAAACAACACAATCACGAAACTTCGAAACAGTAGGGGATGCTGGGTGAACCAATGACCAGATTTAAATTTGCTTATCAAAGAGTATTTTGTTGATATTTTTACTTCAGGCAATGGGGTTCGCGAGCCGGTTCTTAATTGTATAAGTCCTAGAGTCACCTCAAACTAGAACTCTGCTCTTCTAAGATCATTTTCCAGCAGTGAGATCAGAAAGGCAGCCTTTGGAATGCATCCAGACAAAAGCCCCGATATTGACGGTCTCAATCCAGGTTTTTTCCAGGCCTACTGGGATATTATTGGTGCTAGTATGTTAAATATGTGCAATGAGTTCCTCCAGTCGGGCACTCTCCCACTGGGATTGAACACAACTCAAATTGTTTTGATCCCCAAAAAGGCCACCCTTGAATCCATGGGAAACCTTAAGCCTATTGTACTTTGCACGGTGGCTTACAAGATTCTAGCAAAATCCATTGCAAATAGATTGAAGCCTATTTTGAATGGGTTGATATCAGACAGTCAAAGTGCATTTGTTCCAGGGCGTCTGATAACAGATAACATCTTGGTTGCTTTTGAGATGCAACACTATCTGAAGAGGAAGACACATGGTAAAGAGGGTTATGTAGCACTTAAACTCGACATGAGCAAGGCCTACGATACAGTTGAATGGCCTCTTTTGAAAGAAATGATGCTAAAACTGGGTTTTGACCAAAAATGGGTAAATTTGGTGCTCCAGTGTGTATCTACCGTTGAGTACTTCATTCTTAATCAAGGGGAAGAGATTGGGCCTATTTCACCTTAGAGAGGGTTGCGTTCAGGGAGACTCATTGTCGCCGTATCTGTTCATCCTTATTGCAAAGGGTTTCAGTGCATTGCTAAGGGAAAAAGAGCTACAAGGAGGAATCCATGGAGTCATAATTGCTAATTCAGCACCACCAGTCACTCACCTATTTTTTGCCGATGATAGCTACATCTTCTTCAAGGCCAATACCACGGAAGCTTCAAATATGAAACAGTTACTCTCACAGTATGCAAGTGCATCCGGTCAGATCATCAATTTCGACAAATCCAATCTCTGTTTCAGTAGAAATGTCCCGGAAGATACTCGGGAGAGGGTTGGGGAAATTTTGGGTGTGAGAGGATGTAGGAGTGGGGGTAATTACCTTGGGTTACCAATGTTGGTGGGTAGGAACATGAGGGAGGTGTTGAGCTTCATCAAGGGTAGAATAATCAGTAGGATTCAAAGTTGGAACCATTGTTTCCTTTCGGGAGCAGGTAGAGAAGTTTTATTAAAAAGTGTTGTTCAAGCTCTTCCCTCTTATGCTATGGGAGTCTTCTTATTACCAAGTGAGCTTATTAGAGAGATTGAAGTGTTAATGAATAGATTTTGGTGGAAGGGGGGTGGGAATGTCAACAAAGGCTTGAACTGGTTTACGTGGAATAGGTTGTGCACTCCTAAAAAGTTGGGGGGGGGGGGGGGGAGGGGGGTTTCGGATTTAGAAGTCTTAAGGGATTTCAGCGTAGCAATGCTTTGCAAACAGTCTTGGAGAATAATTACTAATCCGGATTCCTTAGTAGCAAGAATTCTCAAAGCAAAATATTTTCCAAACTGGTTTTTTTTAGGCTAGGAAGAGGGCCAATCCATCATTTGTTTGGACCAGCCTTATAGCAACTCAAGATGTCATTAGAAAGCACAGCAAATGGAGGGTCGGTGATGGCAATACGATCAAAATTTGGAATGACAAGTGGTTACCGGACAAAGCTAACCCCAAAGTAATGTCTTATCCTTTTCCGCTTATGCATAATGCAGTTGTGGCAGATCTTATGAAACCAAATGTGGCTAACTGGGATGAAGAGGTCATTAGAGACATGTTTGTGCAGCGTGACGCTGATCTCATTATGCAGATCCCGTTAGCTAGACATCGGAGTGAAGACAAAATAATTTGGGCCCCGGAAGAGAATGACAACTTTACGGTTAAGAGCTGTTACAAGGCGTTGAGGGGTGAGCTAGACCCAAATGACATTCAGGGTTGGACAAATTTTTGGAAGTTAAAAATCCCCCCAAAGTAAAGATATTTTTTTGGCAAGCATGCACAAATTCCCTACCAACAAAGGATCTTCTGAGGAGAAGGAAAATTGAATGTGAAGAAGTATGCACTCTTTGTAATGTGGCAACTGAATGTATCAATCATATCTTCCTGGAGTGTAGTTATGCTAACAATTGTTGGGGCCTATTAGGAGAGCAAAGGACAAGTTCAGATTTATGCTCTTTCACTTAGTGGGCGAACCAGAAGTTGTAGTTGACAGACTTGGAGAAGTGCTGCTCATTGATAATGGTGTGCTGGGAGATCTGGCAGCAAAGAAACAATAAAATTTGGCAGAACAAGGCAGTATCACCTCCTTCATTTACAGTCAGAGCAGCAGAAAGCTTTCTAAGCGGTTGGCGGGCAGCTTCGGAGACTTGTCAACGGAATGGATCCAGCAGCTTAGAAAGCAAGTGCAAATGGTCTAAACCCCACACAGGCTTCTCCAAACTAAACGTTGATGCGACGATTAATACGCAAAATGGGAGAATGGGGTTTGGATATGTCTTGAGAGATGACAAGGGAGATTTCATAGCTGCCAAGAGTGTTTCTTGGAGTGGAACATTCACACTAAGGGAAGCGGAAGTTGTAGCAATTAGGGAAGCACTCGGTTGGATCAAAGAGCTCAACTACGACAATGTTCAGATTGAGACTGATTCACTTCTGGTGGTACAGGGACTAATTGCAGTAGAAGGAGGATCCTACTTTCACCTTTTTATGAGTGATATAAAAAGCTCATTATGTGATTTCACTAATGTGTCTTTAGGCTTTATCAAACGATCAGCGAATCAGGCAGCTTATGTACTAGCTAGGTCGTTTGTTTCTTTGACTGGTTGTAGGGTGTGGTTTGACAACTACTCATCTATCCTTTGTAATGCGTTGTCTTCGGACTTGATTTAATTTATGAATGTTTGTTTGTTTCAAAAAAAAAAAAAACATGAAGTTGGTAATGGCCCAAATTTTGGTCCAAAAAAAAGAAAAAAATAATATAGGAGTTAATATATATATATATATATATATATATATATATATATATATATATATATATATATATATTGGAGTGGAAAGTCACCGGCAAAAGCGGAGGCCTACCGGCAAGTGGACCCCCCTTTGTCGTAGCACAAACCCGCATAATCAGTGGCTTAAGGTCACCAAATTCCTTTTATCAATTCTTCAAACTTTTAATTATTCCCTTTCCATTCAGAAAAAAAATTTTTATTTATTTTTCTTTCAATTACTCCCTAGCCCCTAAGGCCCTAATCCATTAGAGCTGGTCTAATGAGTACGATTGAGGCAATTTTGTAAAAATATAAAATAAAACTTCTACATGTAAAATTATATATATATATATATATATATATATATATATATATATATATATATATAATTGCACTCAGGTGCGAATGAAGCGCCCTGGAGGGAATATGCGAACGAATCCGCGTGCGACACGTGTCCAGACCTAATGGATTAATAAAAAACGCGGTGACATTTTTATAAATAATTGAACATCGAAGTGCAAGTAAAATGTATTACAAGTGTATGTAAAATGTATTATAGGTGCAAGTAAAATTTACACTGAGCATCAATACTAAGTGCACCTATAGTTATAAGTAGTTAGTGCACCTATAGTTATAAGTAGTTGCACATATAGTTATAAGTAGTTTCACCTATAGTTATAAGTAGTTTCACCAATAGTTATAAGTAGGTGCACCCAGGTGTATGAATGTTTGCGGGAAGTGAATGTTAACAAGGCAAAATTACTGCACTTATAGGTGAAAGTACTTGTAAGTGATTTTACTTGCACTTCGATGTTCAATTATTTACGAAAATGCCACCGTATTTTTTTTAATATATTAGATCTGGACACGTATCGCGCGCGAATTCGTTCGCATATTCCCTCCTGGACACTTATTCGCACCTGAGTGCATTCATATATATATATATATATATATATATATATAAGTTCAAATGCGGCGATGTCCTTAGGTGCGGCAGAATTTCAGAATACACTAACAGTATTAACAATATGCACCAACAGTGTAAGGGAAACACACCACAATGAAAAAAAAAAAAAAAAAACCAAAAAATACACAACAGGCCCAAAAAATACATCATATAACTCACCACACCCCAATGGTGTATTTCCGAACACGGTATGGTGTTTTTCCTAACGTTGATGGTGTATATTTGTTGAACTATTGGTGACGCCGTACCCTAAGGACATCGCCGCACTTGAACCTTTCTCTCTCTCTCTCTCTCTCTCTCTCTCTCTCTCTCTCTCTCTCTATATATATATATATATATATATATATATATATATATATATATATATATATATATATATATATCGTTTCAGGTGTGAACTAATGCTATGATATGAGGAGTGGTGTAGGGTGCATCCCGTGCAATTGTGTAGTAGTTTAGTGGTGTAGTGATGTGATGCATTGGTGCAATATTATATATTTACTAGGTCAACATCATTATAAATCACAAGATTTAACAAGATCAACGGTGCATAATGGTACACAAGTTCACATGATAGCAAACTCAAACCTCAGATTAAATTATAAGAGACATATGTCATCTTATTTATACCTCATAGAAAAATGTAACATCTTATATAATTTTTACAGATAGTGTTTTCTAAATTAAAAAAAAAAATAACTTAATTACCTGGTTAGTTTATTTTGCTATATATAATATAAAATAATTAATTTTACCATGTGGAGTATAACATAAAAATATTACATGCAGATTATGTTGTCATTATAAGTTATAAACATACCATGCTTTTTATGTATCTAATTTAGTTAATAAAGATTGACTCAAAATATTACTCCGTATAATTTAATTTAATCTTATTAACGATTAATAAATGTGTATTTAAAGACAACATAAAAGTTATATCAAATATAAAAGATTAAGTTTATAAGGTATAAAACAATTGAAGCAATTATTATTGTTGTTATTGTTGATACTAAATTGTCAACTTTAATATTTACAGAGCATCCACATTAATGGATTTTGAAAAATTTTTGTAGGTTTTTTTTTTTTTTTTTTTTTTTTTTCAGGCTACTAATCCTTGTTCGTACAGGACTGGGGCAAAGTGCTGACCAAATTGGTTTTTTCATACGAGAGGAGATTTGAACTCCTGACTTCTCTTAAGGTACAAGAGTGCATGTCAATCAAGTTGGTTAGGTTTTTGTAGGTTTTTAAGCCTATATTGAGGAGAAAGAGTGTGAGGAGTTTTCGTGCAAAACTTTGATTTTTATCCGAATTGTGGACCTACCAAGAAAAAAAAAAAAGTCATGATCACGTGAAGTGCGACCACAACGCTTAGCCGAGCGCGTGCACTGCACCCACCTATTTAGCGCGTTAATCTTAAGTGTTTTTTTTTTCCAGATTTGTTTTGCTTTTTTTCTTTTTCTTTTTTTCCTTCCTTCACATCTTCTCTTTTCTAGTCACACTTACAAAAACTATTCAAAATCTATGTCTATTGAAAATACTTTTAGAGATATTATTCGACAAGCCTAATAAACTCAAGATTGTCCCCCCCATGAAGAGCATCACGCAAGCAGGGGTTGGGTCTCGAGTTTCAATGTAGGTCAAAGTGGCTAAGGATAAGTTAGCTCACCTTGGGGGAGGAAGGGTGAGATTGGAGCCATTCTAAGATGTTATGGGGTTAATGTGGTTACTAAAGAGTGTTTGATATGCTCGGTCATTATCTAAACTAGTTTTTGCCCCGTGCGATGCACGATATAAAATTTAAATAACTTTAATATTGATAATATTTTAAAAACAATAAAATAAAATATTAATCATGAAATTAAAATTTATTCTGAAATGTATTTTCCTTTAACAATACTAAATTGGTTGTTATATCGAACATCACATATTGTTAGCATATATTATAAAGAATTGTGTTATAACATACCACATGAGATTTAAAAAGTGTACATTAAAATAATTATATATATATATATATATATATATATATATATATATATATATAGACACACACACACACACACATTTTTATAAAAAAAAAAAAATTAAAAATTAGGAAATCAAACAATATACTATAAAAAATTATGAAATTAAATTTTCTTATATATAAAAACATTTATTAATATGATTTGTAATTAAAGCCTATAGTACATATACTTGACAATATATAAATAAAAAATACAGTATCATCATCATACATTGAAACTAATTACGAAAATCTTTTCTTAAACATTGCATAATAATAATAATTATATACGTACAACATATATAAATCTAAACTAAATATGAAATATTTCATGACATGAAAGAAAAAATAAAACCTGCAATGCTAAGCCCAATAAACATTTAATTATCTATCTATATAACCCAGTTACGTTGCATTTCAGCCCAATACCCAAGCCCATTAACCCAATTATAAAACCTCATTACCAAACCCTAATCCATATTTTTTGACAATTGCGCTTCCGTCTACTCTGTTGCGTTCGTCATTCTCTCTAAAATGTTCACTGACTTACGCGAACCTTCTCTGTTTCCGGCGTCTTGACACACTCGATTTTAAATCGTCGCACGTCCAAGTAATCCACTGCTAAAAAACTTTTCAGATAATCTGATCGTAGCTTTTGGCCGTTGTGGAATTGCTTTCTTCCCCAAATGCCGATCTGAAAAATCGGGTGACTGGAGCAAATCTAAAACAAACTAATAAATACAGTATCATCTTCAGGTAAAACTTATTATTTAAAACAAAATTAAGAAATACATCATATTTTCTAATTACTTAATATCAGTTCAATAATTATTTGTTTAAACTTATTCGTCTCTCCAATATTATTGTTCATGCAACTGATTTAAATTTTTAAAAACTTTTTTTCAATTTAGTAACTGATTTAGTAACTTTTTTCAAAAAAAAAAAAAAAATTCCCTCTCAAAACTATATTCGAATGAACAATTAAATTGTTGTCGATCAACAAAATTGTAAGAATAAAAAAATAGGTTAATCTTATTTTTTAAAATTGAATACTCTAATTTTTTTTCAGTAAATAATAAATTAATTTATATAATAAAATGTTAACTTAAAAATACTGGAATGTATTACCTGCTTCATCATTAAATAACAATAATTGTAGATTAACATGTATTGAAAATAGATAAGTATGATGCATTATATACCTTAAAATGATGCAATTTCATTTAATTGGTATTTTAATACCTTAACATGATGCAATTTCATTTAGGCGGGAAATTGATTGGCACAAAACATTTTGCTATTATATAGAGTAAGATAAGATAAGATGTTGTTAAAATATTTTTATAAATATATTGTATTGTTGTCTATAAAAGGACAACAAATTTTCTTATAACATAATTAATCAATAATGAAAATAAATTGTCTCCTTGTAATTTTGTTTCTTCGTTCATGTTTGTTATCTAAAAAGGATTACTACAATTTTTAAAAATTATTTTCATCAAATAGCTAGAATTAATTATAATTATAGCAATTTAAATAGATAATTCTAAAGTTGATGATATCCATGGAATAGGCCCCAGCTACACAGTAGTTGATACTCCATTCCTAAGTACCATTTTCCCATCAAATG